AGACTCACAGAATTTCTTCTGCCCCAGGACTGGGTATTAATTTAAACCTGAAAAAGCAACAATCGGGAATGAGCTATACAAAAGTATGTGAATGTGTTAAGATGAGTGTGTGTGTGATCACAGACATTCCAAGTGTGACCCTTCCTGATTCTCCACTCAGTCAAGCTAGAAACATGACTCTGCAAGGGGGTGGAGGGGAAGGAGAGAGCCAGAGAAAGAGCCTGGCATAGGACCTGGGGGAGCAGCTGAGGGGCCTGGCCCACCAGGAAGTGTGTTCTGTCCTAACAGGCTAGGCTTCTCAAATACCACCTCACAGGGACAGCAGAAGGTTAACAGAGGGAATGGAAGGTGTTGTATATACAGGAGAGTTAGAGGAACTGTTTGTGCTTCACCCTCTCCAGCCTCCCAGGACCTAGCCTGGGGCCCAGTGATTGTAGAAGCTATTTAGAGACATGTTCTCCCACTCCCTCAAGCCTTTTCTGGCCAGCCCTGATTCATTCCCCTCTGAGCACTACCCTGGAAGGAACCCATCCTAGGTTTGAGATTACCTCTCTCTAATCCATTTCAGAGAGAGGCTTATTTAGACCTGGCCATCTATCTCTACTATAGTCTCCCAGAGTCCCATGAAGGAGAGCCTCTATTTCCTCAGCTGTAAAATAGAGATAATGGTAGCATGGATGCTTGTGATGTGTCAGCTTCACTTGGCTGAGCTACATTATTCAGAATTCCTTTTCCTAAGTGTTTCCTATGACAGTGGGTCATGGAGAGCTTCACCTGGGAAATTTGGAGGACAGAGAGGAAGAGACAGCCGTGTTGTAGCTTACACATGCTGCAGCAGCTCTTCTAACTTGCCTCAATGGTGGATGTACACCTACCTCCTCTTCTCATGGATCCTCTTCCTGCTTCTTCTCCTGCCCTGGGTCAGCACATGTGTTCAGTTCTAGGATCTGACTTCTGCAGGACAGCCATACCACCCAGTTGAGAAACAAGAACTTACATATTTCTGTCTGTCCTTGGGTAACATCCCCAAGGTTGCTAGCTTGTTTTTCAACTCAACTTCCCCTTCCAGTCTGGGTGTGTGCTGGTATAGTGTATGTATGTGTGCATTTGTGTGGAGGCTGGATGTTGGTATTGGGTGGTGTTTCTCAATTGTTTCTCCACCTTATTAGTACATGTATTAAAATTTTTGGATTTAGTTTTATGTATATGAGTGTTTTTGCCTGCGGTTTTGTAAGTGCACCTGTGCATGCAATGCCTGTGGAAGCCATAAGAGGACATTGAATCCCTTGGAACTAGAGTTACTGACAGTTGTTAGCCACCATGTGGGTGCTGGGAATCGAACCCAGGTCCTCTGCAAGAACAACCAGTGCTCTTAATAACTGAGCCATCTCTCCAGCCCTTATTATATATGTATTTAAAAAAATATTCTATTTATTTTTGGAGGCTGGAGAGATGGCTCAGTGGTTAAGAGCACTGGCTGTTCTTACGGAGGACCTGGGTTCGATTCCCAGCACCCACACAGTGGCTACGAACTGTCTTTAACTCTAGTTTGAGGGGAATCTGAAGCCCTCTTCTGACTTCCTCAGCATTGCATGACATGGGTGCACTCACATACATGCAGGCAATACACTCGACACATAAAATAAAAATAATAAACAAAATATTTAAAAAATTTATTTATTTTTATTGTATGAGTGTATTGCCTGCTTGTGTGTAAGTGCACCCATGTCGTGCAATGCCCAAGGAGGTCAGAAGAGGACGTCAGATCCCTTGGAACTGGAGTTATGGACAGTTGTTAGTTGCCATGTGGGTGCTAGGAATCGAACCCGGGTTCTCTTCAAGAGCAACCAGTGCTCTTAACTGCTGAGCCATCTCTCTAGTCCCTTATTATATATTTTTATAACTAATTCTTTTTTAGTACATTTTTCTTTATTACTGTGTGTGTGCACACATACATGTGCATGACATGCCACACGTGTGAAAGTTACCATGTAGGTCCCAGGGATTAAATTCAGGCGGGCAGCAGATGCCTTTACCTGCTGAGCCCTGTCTGCCTTTAAAACAAAAAATTTTGTTTGGAGACAAGGTCTCTCCATGTAGCTGTTAATGGCTTGGAACTCTCTAAGTAGGCCAGGCTGGCCTTGAACTCACACAGATCCCCTGCCTTTGCCTCCCAAGTGCTGAGATTAAAGGTATGCACCACCATGGCCAGTCCATTTGCCTTATTTTTTAAGATAGGGTCTCTCACTGAACCTGGAGCTTGTTGATTCAGCCAGACCAGTTTGCCAACGAACCCCTGGGATCCTCCTGTTTCTGCCCATACCATTGCATTGGTTTTTACATGGGTCCTGGGGATCAAACTCAGGTCCTCATGCTTGCATGGCAAACATTTTACGGACTGAGTCATCTCCCCAGTCCTGCCTTTGTATTTCTTTTCCAACTACTTCCTCTGTGCCTTCAAGCTCCAGCATCAGAAGTAAATATAACAAGATGTGTAGAGACTGCTTGACTAGCATCCACAACTGCTCAGGGTCAAATTCCTGCAACAAACCTATGTATAGGTATGTGTATGTATAAAAAGTAAGATGGGCCGGGTGTGGTGGCACACGCCTTTAATCCCAGCACTTGGGAGGTAGAGGCAGGTGATCTCTGTGAGTTCAAGGCCAGCCTTGTCTACATAGTGAGTTCCAGGCCAGCTGGGGCTACAGGGAGACCCTGTCTCAAAAAAGACCCAAAAAAAAAAAAAAAAAAAAAAAGGGATTTACCTATTTCTATTTATATCCAGGTTAAACATCCTTAATTTGAAAAAGCTGAAATCTAAAGTGCTTCAAAATACAAAACTTTTGAACACTGATATGACAGTGTATGTAGGAAATTCCACATCTGATATGATGGTTCACATGAAATTATTAAAAATACTGAATAAATTGCCTTCAGGCTGTGTGTGCACGGTACATATAAAACACAAGTGAATTTTGTGTTTAGTCTTGGGCCCCATCCCTATGATAGTTTATTTTGTATATGATGGTTGTTTTGGGTTTTTTTTGAGCCACTGACTCCCTGTAGCCCTGGCTCCAGCTGACCTGGAACTTGCTACATAAACCAGGCTGGCCTTGATCTCACAGAGATCCACCTAACTCTGCCTCCTAAGGACTGGGATTAAAGGCATGAGCCATCATGCTTGGCTGTATATGACAGTATTACATCATCAGAAAAACACTGAAATCTGAAACGCTTCTGGTCCCAAGCATTTTGGATAATGAATACTTGACCTATAACATTAGACTCCTCATCTGACTGAATGCTGACTGATACAGGCACTAATACACATTATTTGACCTGGTGGGAGTTGAGTGGAGTTCAGGTGTTTGAAAGAGCTTGGTCATTATAAAGCAGTTCTCTAATTTCTTGTGTCTGTGTGTAGGTTATGTGGTGCAATATACGTGTGTGTGTGTGTGTGTGTGTGTGTGTGTGTGCGTGTGTGTGGTGGGGCGTGGGGGGGTTATGTGCACCCATGTGTGGGTTCCGAGGCAAGAGGAGGACATCAGCTGTCCTGATCTATCACTTTCTACCTCATTTCCTTGAGATAGGATATTTCACTGATCCTGGAGCTAGGCTGGTGGCCAGCAAGCCCCAGTGATCCTGCCACCTCTACCTCACACAGCACTGGAGTTATAGGAGTGTATGCCCATTTCAAGTTTTTTATTTGGGGGCTAGGAATTTGAACTCAGATGCTATGTTTGTATAGCAAGTACTCTTACCCACTGAACTACCTTCCCAGCTCCTCAATTTTTTTCTTAATGGGTTCTCACTATTTTGCTGGTTTCACACTCCTGGGTACATGTGATCCCGTGGGCACAGCTGAGACCACAGGCATATATCTCTGCATCAGGGTCAAGCATGCATCAGAATTGTGCAGAGGGCTTGTCCAGATTTCTGGGTTTTACTCCAGAGTTTCAGATTCTCATGTCTGGGTTGGGGCCAGAGTATGCATGTCTAACAAGTTTTAGGGGAATGCTGGTGCTGCAGGTCCAGGAGCTACACCCTGAGGATCACTGTACATACCAAGGTGAGGGGTGACTACAGCCCACCCAGGTGGCCAGCAGGGCAGCTACTGCAGTGCTTTCCCTGTGGGATCTTAGGGAAGATCTTGAGCTCAGGGCAGGCAGACTCAAGCATGATCCTGGCCCTGGTACTTTGAGGTCACTATCCCTGGGCAAGTGTCTTGTTACATGAGACAGGGATGATGGTGCCTTGTGGGGTTTTCACAAGGCTAATGTCCATGAAGTACATGCTCTCTTCCTGGGTCTCTGGCTTAGCTGTTGCCATTGATGGTTTAGAAATGTACAATCAAGGCCCTTATTTGGTTTAGTTTTGCTGGTTTTAATCATCATTCCAGCCTGCTAGGATGCTCCTGAGTCTTTTGATTATTCTTTGACATATTAGTGGTCCCTTGCTAGTTACCCAGCAGCCATCTGGCTGACCTGCATTGGTACTGGTGACATTGTGATGCATATTTTCAGGTGAACAGGAGACAGGGGGACAGGGCTGCGTTTTTATCCAGCACCTTTGGAACTCTGCCTTCATTGTTTCTAGAGAGTCTTTGAACTCTGATTAGAAATAACCAATTATTTTTTTTTAAGTGGTAGAAGAAAGTTACCTTGTTCTGTTCTCAGCCTCCTGAACTCTTAACTATGTTTAAGTCCAAAGGCCAGGAGACACCAGATCTGAGACATGGCTTCTGGTTCTCCAGCAACCTAAATGATCGCTTTTAGATGGGGTGCTTGTGGGGTTCTCTTCTGATCAACTTTTCCCCATGAACAAATTGCCAAAAAGAGAGAGAATTTCAGGACAAACATAACATTTAATGTTTTTAGGGTGGGGGTGGACTGAGGTCAAAGGGGCAAACAGCAAGGTGTTTGTCAGGAGGAAACCACAGGTCCTCAACAGCTGGACTGGGAGGACTAGACCATAAGTTCCCAGGAACTTACTCTCTCACAGTCTCTGTTTTAGAACATTCTGGAATCATGTTGCCTCCTTATACCCGGACTTGCTGCTGTTCCTTCTTCTTTACCTCTGCCCAGATATCTGACAGGTCTTGGATATATTGTTGGATCTGACAAGGTAAGGAGACCAGCATTAACCTCATCCAGTCAAAGCCCCCCTCACGCCCATTTCCAAGACAGAGCATCTCTATGAACTCCCTTGCCTGACTTCCAGAGGCAGCCTTTGGCCTCATTTGACAGATTTTTCTAGGTAGCCATAAGTATCAGCTTTAGCAGATGTATTAGTTACTTTTCTGTCACTGTGCTCAAAATATCTGACAAAAGCAACTTAGAGGAAGAAGGATTTACTCTAGTTTATGATTTCAAAGGGCCACAGTCCATCATGGAACATATGGCTTAGTTCATGGCCTTAAGACCGTGTGGTGGTGGCTCTTCACATGGAGGTGAACCAGGAAACTGAGAATGTGACTAGACCCAGGGGCCCTGGCTGTTACTCTCAAAGGCCTGTATCTAGTGACCCACTTCCACCAGTCAAGCCCTACCTCCTAAAGGATTCACAGCCTCCCCAAACTGCCACCAGCTGGGGAACAAGCACTTAAAACATGAGCCTAGAGGTGACATTTCAGATTCAAACCATAAGAGCAAGAGAGAACCAATGTAGGAATGGAGTTGGGATATGCTAGACAGTCACCAAAGTACAGGAGGAAGAGAGAGGCTCACAGAGGAACCTCAGAGGGAAGCATTTTGCAGGCAGGGCATGCAGATGGCTCTCCACAACTTGAAGGCCTCGAGGTGGTCATGGATTTGGAAGCCTGATGTTCATTGTGATAATCTTGAATGATTAAGGGAGCATATTCTATTAGCTAGCTTCTGTTTTAAGGGCTTGAGGTCAGCATGACACAGCACAGACTTGGAGGTCAAGAGGACCCAGCTGGGCTCCACAATAGCAGCTCTGGGAAAATGACTCTCTCTCTCTCTCTCTCTCTCTCTCTCTCTCTCTCTTTCTCTCTTTCTCTCTCTGTCTCTCTCTCTGTCTCTCTGTCTCAGTCTCTGTCTTATCCTCTTCTCTTTATCTCTCATTACATTTATTTATTCATCTGTGTATATATGTGTGTGTATGTATGGGGTGTGCTTATGCCACATCACATGTGGAGGTTAGGGGACAACTTGCAGGAGTTGGTCTCCTACCATGTGGGACACTTGGATTAAAGTCAAGTCATCAGGCTTGATGGCAAGCACCCTTACCCACTAAGCCATTCTCTCTCTCTCTCTCTCTCTCTCTCTCTCTCTCTCTCTCTCCCTCTCCCTCTCCTTCTCCCTCTCCCTCTCCTCTCTCTCTCTGTCTCTTTCCTCTCTAGTTTTGTAATGCTAGGGATAGAAACTAGGACCTCACACATGCCAACCTAGTTTCTTTAAAAGTTGTACCTCAGAGGGAGAGTGTGTGTTCTATTCTTGACCTCTCATTTTTGCTTACATATTATTGGGTCTTTATTTTTAATTTTTCTAACTAGTTGGTGGTTTGTACTTCTGTCAATAATCCAATGGGAATAAAGAAGGGCATTTTAAGATAACCTTGAGCACTATAAAGCACTCCTGGCAAGGAAAATCAGGGCTCAGATTTTTCTGAATCAAATTTCATAAAATCCTTAAGAATTCAGAAAGCTCAGAATTTGGAGTATATGGATTAGAAGCTCTGAGCTAAGCAAGGAATGCATGTGTTGGGGCTAAGAATTGCAGGTCACCACTTCCCAGGGCACCCTTCCTCATGAGAGCTAAAGGAAGGGTGCTGCTGAGCACCTCGGGGACCTCTGAATTCTGTGAGCATGACACCAAGACCCTTTTTGTATTTTCACTTCTTCCCTCACAAGCACACGGTGTCATTTACCATGGTGGGGTTGCCCCAGTGTTCTGTCAACAGGATGAGCGAAGGCACAAACGGCACAATTGACTTGTTATTGAGCCAGATATTAAGGGGATCTGCCAAAATGTCCAACGTACCACTCTCCTCACACAGAAAAAATTTTTGAAATTATTTTAATTAAAAATACTATTTCAATGACAGGGGAGATGGCTCAGTTGGCAAAGTACTTGTCATGAAAGCATGAGGATATGAGTTCAGATCCCCAGTACCCACAGAAAAAAAGCCAGGTATGGTGGCACATATAATCCCAGTGCTTGGGAAGTAGAGGCAGGAAGCTCCCTGGGGCTCACTGGCCAGGCAGTTTAGCTGGATTGGTGAGCTCTAGGAACAGCGAGAGACCCTGTCTCCAAAACTAATGTGGAGAGTGGTTGAAGAAGACACACCTGACATCCACCTCTGGCCTCTGAATGTTCATGTACACGTATGCACATGCACCCCTCGCAGACACACATACATGAACATGTAAACACACACCTTTTAAAAGTTACAATTATTGTGCGTGTGCACGTGTGCATGTGTGTGTGTGCATGTGTGTGTGTGCATGTGTGATGTGTATGTGTACCCATGTGTGCCACATCAAATGTATGCAGGTCATAAGACAACTTTCAGGAGTCATTTCTTTCCTTCTACCATGTGGGTCCCAGAGATTGATCTCAGATCATCAGGCTTGGCCAGGTCATCAGGTTTTGAGGCAAGCACCTTTACCTACTGAACCATCTCCCCAGCCTCCCAAGTTTTAAAAAATGCTCCCTGTAGCCCCAGCTGGCCTGGAACTCACTTGTAGACTAAGCTGGCCTTTGTACTCACAGAGATCCACCTGCCTTTGCCTCTGGAGTGCTGGGATTAAATGCGTGCACCACCACACCTGGCACCAATTCATTTTAAAATGATGATTAAAAACTTGTTAATTGGGGCTGGAGAGATGGCTCAGTGGTTAAGAGCATTATCTGCTCTTGGAGAGAAGCCAGGCTTGATCCCTAGAACCCACATGGTGGCTAACAACCTTTTGTAACTCCAGTTCCAGGGGATCCAATACCCTCTTCTGGCATCCACAGGTACTGCATGACATAGGTGCACTTACATACATGAGGCATAACACTCATACACATAATGTAATTTTTTAAAGGTATGTGTTTACATGTTCATGAATGTGTGTCCATGTGGGGAGGGGTTGCATGACTTTTAACTTATTTTCCATCCATAAACAACAAAAATCTTCCAAATCTTTCTAGAGGAAAGATAGAATAGAATAGAATACACAATACCTAAGCATTTTGAATCAATATATAAAGTCCATATAAATTCTGAGCTGTCCTTTAAATTTGAACTTATGATGACAGATAAATTATTCTGTTCCAAGAGGTGATGTGGATTTTGAAAACCTTTGCTTGACTGTCCTAAGAGAGCAAACAGGTGCTAAAGAAGGTGGCTTCAAGGAGCTGGAGATGGCTCAGTGGTTAAGAGCATTGGCTGCTTGTGCAGAAGACCCAGGTTCAATTCCCAGCACCTACATGGTATGGTGGCTAACAACTGTCTATAACTCCAGTTCCAGGGGATCTGGACAGCCTCTCCTGTCCTCCATGGGTATTGCATGACATGGGTGCACTTACATACATGCAGGCAATATGCTCATACACATAAACTAAAATTTAAAAAAAGAATGTGGTTTCTAACAACAGTGAGGTTTTTATATTTGCTAGCTGGAAAACTCTTAAGGTACATTTTTCCATGCTATACCAGATAATGTAAGAGAGTTTGTTTCCATACAATATGGACCTTTCTCACTATGCCACAACATAATTTGAGACCAAAGATTCTTTTCTTTGCTAGCACCAATGAGCAGCAGTTTGTTTACCTTCTATAGTGATGACCTTTTCTCTTAAGGCATGGGTGACAATGATTTTAAAACAAGAACATCTGAGGCAGTGGAAGACATTGCCCCAGCATTTCAATAAACAGTCACACTGCACTGTGTTATAGTATAAACAATGAGGGGCAAACCTTGGTAAAGGACCAGAAGAACATAATTAAGGCTTTACAGTTAGTTTCTCTATTGGTCACTTGGCTCTGCTGTAGTAGAACAGAAGCACCCATGCATGAGAACTAGAGGGAGCTGGTGGTGTTCAAACAAAATTCTGTTTATGGACACTAAGTTCTATTAATTTTATTAATTTTCACATTCATCATCTTTTTAAAAAGCCATTTAAAATATAATTCTTCATGTTCAGGCAGGATTTAGCCCATAAGCCACAGATGGCTATCTCCTATGCAGGCCTTTATAAACTAAGGAAAATATTTGGAATTTCTGACTTTGGAGACTTGAACCTTTTAGATTTTTCATTTAAAAATTTACAGGGCTGGAGAGATGGATCAGTGGTTATAAGCACTGACTGCTCTTGCAGAGGACTCAGGTTCAGTTTCTAGCACCCACATGGCAGTTTAACAGCTTAACAATCGTCCGTAACTCCAGTTCCAGGGAATCTGACGCCTTCTGACCTCCACAAGCATTGCACAAGTGTACTTACATACAGTCAGGCAATATGTGCATACACATAAAATAAAAACAATACAATATTTTTAAAAAATTTCTATCACACAAGTTTTGTGACTATACTCACATGAAAGAGTACTTCGGAACAAATATATTTCTCTACTTAGAAAAGTAACATATTTAACTTAAATATTTTTTTTTTTATAAATTATCTAAGAATATATAACTTAGAAATATGTAAAATGAAAGCTAAAATGTTATTCTATGGGCTATAAATGAATATGCATGTATTTGGCATGTAATTTCTTAGTTTTTACTTTAGGAAAAAGTAAAAGATAATGAAACAAAGGCTTATAAATATGTTAGTCCCTTTTGTAAAAAGTTGTTGCTGAGCATGGTGGCACATGCCTTTAATCCCAGCACTCGGGATGCAGAGGCAGGCAGATCTCTGTGAGTTCGAGGCCAGCCTGGTCTACATAGTGAGTTCCAGGGCAGCTGGGGCTACAGGGAGACCCTGTCTCAAAAAGACCAAAAAAAAAAAAAAATTTGTTGCTGAAATCAACAATCATTTACGTGAACAACCTTCAATTCTAGGGATATTTAGGAATCAGATTTGTTTAGATAGATTCTGGCACTTTTTTTTTTTTTTTAAAAGCACAAATGCATCATAGAACACTAAAGTTACAAAAGAAATTCTAGCTTCCATACCATAATATAAGGAAACAAGACTACCCTATCTATATCATGATCCATTATAAAAGCACTTCACAGCCTAATTTACCTTTATCAAAGTTTAAATGATTCATCACTATACCTACATGGGATATTTTGGTTTTCAATAATTATTAAACATAAAATAAAATTTTGCATGACCTTTCATTTGTTCGGGTTTTCAAAATAGTAGCACAAAATGTATATAGCTGTCAGACCACCATGAGTGAAAGAAAAAGTAATATCAAATGTTTATCGACTTTATCCTAATTTCATACCAATTACAGGGATTGAGATCTAATTGGCTTGTGCCTAACTATCCTGAGCACAGCTCAATCTTCTATTTCAATGCTTCTCAGTGCCATCTTTTGGGTGTTGCTTCATTTTGTGATGTACATATATATATATATGTATATATATATATATAATTTTGTCCAACTTTAATAATTTGTTCTCCCCAAGATTTCATTTCATTATTATAATTAATTTTATCGTCTCCAGCAAGTTGAGTATTACTTGCTTTGAGAACCAGAGAGTTTTTTTAAAAAATCTAAGCTTCTTTAAATTCTTCAGATTTGCCTGTGATAAACCATCTTTAGCTTCTTGGAAATATGAGTGAGATCTTTTTGGTTTTCCACATATATCAGGTACTTTTCTCTTTGCTGTGATAAAAAGCGACTTAATAGAGAAAAGATTTACTTTGGCTCACAGTTTGAGCGTTCAATCTGTCATGGCTGGGAAGGTAAGGCAGCCAGAGTGGCAGGAAGAGGCTTTTTGGTCCTAACACTCAGCAGATGAAGAAGCAGAAACAGGACAGGAGCTGGGTTGTAAACCTCAAGGCAGGCACTCCAGAGTCTCACTTTGTCCAGCTAGGCACCACCTCCCAAAGGTTCTACAACTTTTCAAAACAGTGCCACCTATCCTGGCATGGCAGCAAGCACCTTTAATCCCAGCACTTGGGTGGCAGAGATCAAGGCCAGCCTGGTCTACATAGTGAGTTCCAGGTCAGCTGGGGCTACAGAGAGACCCTGTCTCAAAAACAAACAAACAAACAAACAAACAAACCCAGTGTCACCAGCTGGGAAGCTAGTGTTCAAACACATAAACCTCTGGGGACCATTTCACGTTCAAACCATAACACTTCACCCCTCATCCCTAAGGCTCATGGGCATCTACCAACACAAAATGTATTCAGTCCCACTTCAAGTCTCCATAGTCTTACAATTACAACACCGTTCAAAAGTTCGAAGTCTCTTCTGAAACTCAAGGCAATCACTTAATTGTGATCCCCTGTACAATAAAAAAAAAAAATAATAAGTTTTGTGCTTCCAACACATAATGGCGCAGAGTAAGCCTTCCCAATCTAAAGGGAAGAATGGGAGCATGGAAAGGAAAAATTGGACTAAATCCAAGATCCACACTCAGCAGAGCAAATACAAAACCCTGTAGCCCCATGTCCAGCATCTGGTGGCATCATTTGGGCTCCAAAAGTCTTGGATAGGTCTATCCCTCCAGCTCTGCCATCTGCAGCACATGTGACCTCTCTCTTGGGCTGGCTCTACTCAGTACATGAAACATTCCTCTGTGGAAATCCCACATACCTGGCATCTCCAGTGTCCTGGGGTCTCCACTGCAAATTAGGGCTCACCTTCACAGTTTCACATGTGGGCCACTCTGGAGCTTCATTAAAGGAATATGATCCCACGAACACATCGCTTGGCCTCATTAACTTTCTAGAACCTTTGTGTAAGCCTCCATGACCCCCTCACTTTTAAATGTTGCCTGACTGTGAAATCAGTAGCACAAGGAAAATGTTGGTAACTCCAATGTAGCCTGGTCTCCTTGGACCACAGCTACAACCACCTCCATGTGCCTTTATAGCTGAACTTGGGAGAATGATTCTCTAGGCAGCTGTTTTCTAGCAAAGTACCCTGAAGGTTCTATCCTTTCAGGTACTCTTCTTCCAAGTGAATTTGCATTGTTACACCCTGGAGCTTTGAGTTAGTGGCCTTCCTCCCAAGGCACACTTTTTATTGCCCCAGTGCAAAGTTCCAGATTTCTTTATGGTACCAATCTCTTTACCAGGGAGCGCCACTTTGTACCCACTTTGTCCTCAACTTTATGTTTAAGCTCCTTTCTTCTCCACACTGCACATTTTTTTCATATCTTTCTGCTCCTTCTTACTGTACATCTGGGAAAAAATAGTGGTCTATAATCATGCCATGGGTTATTATACTGTCTTGAAATTTCTCCGCCAACAAACAAATTAGTTCATTATTTTGAATTTAGCCTTACTCAGTATTTCAAGGCATCTGAAGAACATAGCTAGGTTCTTTGCCAAAATATGGCATGAATAATTTCTAGCCTTGTTCCTGACAGAGTTCTTCCCCTCTGAAACCTCATGAGGTCAACCTTCACTGTCCACATTACTATTGGTATTCTGATCTTCCAAATTCTCACCAGAATGGCCTATTAAGCTCTGCATACAGGGTACTAAGGCTTCTCTAGCCCACAGTTCCAAACTCTTTCATGTTCCTCCCGTAAACCAGTTCCAAAGCCCTATGAAATACATGGTCAGGTTTCTCACTGCAACAATGACCCCACTTCTTGACACCAATTTTCTCTATTAGTTACTTTTCAGGTTTCTGTATGTTTTGATAAAATACCTGACATGATGCAATATAAGGAAGGAAGGATTTATTTTGGCTTATAGTTTGAGAGTCCAGTCCATCATAGCAGGGAAAGTATGATAATAGGAGAAAGCTGAGGCTGGAACAGACTTCTTATTCATATCTCAATGGACCAGAAAGCAGAAACAGTACAGAAAGCAGAGCTGGGATATAAACTTCAAGGCCGATATTGCAGACATCCACTACCCTCAGTGAGGATAACCTCACAAAGGTTTCACAACCTTCTAAAACAGTGCTACCAGCTGAGGACCAGGTGTTCAAGTATTTGAGCCTGTTGGGGTATTCTGGTTAGTTGTTATTGTCAACTTGACACAATCAAGAGTCACCTGGGAAGAGAGAGTCTCGTTTGAGAGATTTCTCAGATCAGACTGGCCTGACACTATGCTTATGGGGAACTGCCTTGATTGTTGATTATATGAGAGGTCCCAGTCCACTGTGGGCCATGCCACTCCTGGGCAGGTGGTTCTAGGTTGTATAAAAAAGCTGGCTGATGTCCTCTGACCTTCACACATCCGCTATGCCACTTGTATACACACACACACACACACACCACATACTCACAAAATATAAACAAATGTGATAACATTTTTTGAAAAATAAGTAAAATTTCATTGATATCTGTTTAAAAAAAAAAAAACTGGCTGAGGACAAGCCAGGGGAGCAAGCCAGTAGGCATTATTCCTCCATGGTTTCTGCTTCAGTTCTTGCCTCCAGCCTCCTGTTAGGAGATCCTGCCCTGTTTACCTTGGTGATGGATTATAATCTGTAAGATGAAATAAATGCTTTTTCTTCAAGTTGCTTTTGGTCATGATGTTTATCACAGCAAGAGAAAAGCAAACTAGAACACAGGGGTATTTCATAGTTAAACCATAACATCGTGTTATTAATTCTTTTTATTAACATTTCTTTTAAAAACCTTTTTTGCATGATTTCTTTTCCCAAAGATATCATCTGACTTGGAGTTAGATATTTCCTGAATTCTGTTTATGTTTTCTGTGTATATCTTCTAGTCTTTCTGACAAAAAAAAAAAAAAATCGTCAAACACTTTTTTCTCTGAATCAGGAAGTTCTTTTCCATAGTTCCACAATTTTTCTAATTAGTTCTGAATTTTTAACATCTGGTTCAGAGTTTTAAATATGGGTAGCTGTTCTTTAGAAAACTGAAAAGATGAAGTCATAGATTTCTTTGGATAGTTACCCAAATGGATGAAATAATTTCTGAACATAAAACTGAAGAGTGAATGTAGTCTACTTCCTCAGCTGCCCAGCTCTGCACTTGTGGAGAAGGCAGCAACCAGGCTCAGTCTCATACTGTCCCTCGTATAACAGAGCAGCCCCAACAATGACAATTCAATCCCCCCTGAGACCTACCTGGAGTTGTTATCCTGTGTGGCCAATAGACTGTTCTGTATAACCAATGAATTCAACAGTGTGTCCTACTCTTGCCCTGTGGTTTGAGGTCAACAAGGGTCTTGGGTGCTAAGACAGTGGGACTCAATGTGTGGAACCCTGCCCAGCATCATTACTTGGGAACTTGCTGAATATGCAAATTCATGGGCTCTCAGAGACTTGGGGTGGGGTCCAGCAATACACCTCATCTCCCTACCAGGTGACCATGACACTGCAAACATTTAAGAACCACAACTATGCCTGGTTCATGCCTCCACTCAGCCAATCCAGAATCTCCTTGACCCTGCCACCCAGCTGGGCCCAGCTCCTGCCTGTCCTCCTACCATGTCCAACTGTTTGTGTGTGTCCTCTAGGGACACATGGGTGGTCTCCTTCAGCTGCTTGCTCACGATCTGGAAGAGGTTCAGTGTCGCCATCTTAATGGTGCCAAGCAGGAGCGTCTTCTTGGCAGCAGTGTTCTGGATGTGTGCCCAGCGAGATTCCTGGAGAGGGATGGGGTAGGACATGAGTGGGGCATAGGCAAAAACAGCTGTGTGTGTGTGTGTGTGTGTGTGTGTCTGTCTGTCTGTCTACATGCCTACATGTGTGTGCACGTGCAGACCTCATGCACTCAGAGCCAGCACACTCTCCCCGAGTCCTGTGGGGTCCTGCAGCTCACCCAGAAGATGACGTCACTGCGGGCCCTGTCAAAGCGCATCTGCAGCTGGGCCAGCTCGTTGTTGTGCTGGAGGATCTCGTCGTCCTTCTCTTCCATGTAGTGGGCCAGCTGAGCCTTGGCACGCTCGATCTTCTCCTGGCCCTCTTGTGCTGACTGCATGAGGTCTTGGTGCATGCTCACCAGTGTCTTGTAGCGGGCAATCACCTCATGGATCTCCTCAAACTGAGAGGATAGTGGGCTTGGGTCACTGCTCAGCTGGCTCCCCGAGGCCTGATGCAGTTACCTCAGCCTGCCAACCTCTGGCCTGGACACCTGGATACCAGGGCAGATAGGTGGCAGCCTCGATGGAGATTGTGAGAATGTTGGGATCTACCTTCTTCACCTGGGTTTATATGGACTGTGCCTCATGAGTTGGAGGGATGTACACCTGGACCCTGGGTTCCCAGTGCCAGTTACATGTTAGAATCATCTCAGGTGCCTAAAAAGGTACTAACTGTGTTGGTTAGTAGTAGTCAACTTGATACAAACTAGAGACACCTGGGAAGAGGGAGGCTCAATTGAGAAGTTTCCTTCATTGAATTGGCCTATGATCATATCTGTAAGGTATTTTCTCAATTGCTAATTGGTGGAAGAGGGCCTAGCCTATTATGGGTGGTGCCATCCCTGGGTAGGTGGGCCTGGGCTATATAAAAAAGGTAACGGAGCAAGCCTGGGGTAGCAAGTCAGTAAGCAGCATTCCTCCCTGGTCTCTACTTCAGTCTTGAGTTCTTGCCTGACTTCCTTCAGTGATACAAGCTGAAATAAACTCCCCCCTAAGTTGGTTTTGGTCAGTGTTTTATTACAGCAATAGAAAGCAAACTGGAACACCTGCCAAGCTCCACCCCAGAAGATTCAGACTAATAGCCTGTCTATGGTGGTTCCTGGTATGTTTGAATTTTGCAAAAGATTCCCCAGATGAGTCTAGGCCCAGCTATGGGTTGAAAATTGCTGCTACAGAAGGAATTTTGTCTCCTGAAGCAACAATGATCCTGTTCAGCAAGAATGTACAAAGAGCCATTTACAAGCCAGGAGCTATGCTAAAGGACTAGGACAGAGATAAGAAAGCCAGACCCTGCTCTTTTGGAGTTTACAGCTCAGGGGGTAGTTGGGTGTGGGTAGGACAGATAACTAAACAGTCAGTTATAAACTTTCTCTGGGACTGAGGTTGGGGCTGCACAGAGCCTAGGTTCTAACTCCCAGCTTCAATGTGTGTTCAACATCTGCTATAAGAGAAGTGGGGCTGGAGAGGAGTAGCTAGTGAGGCAGGGACTTGCAAGACTCAGTTCACCTCTTCCAGTGCAGTTTGGAACCACAGAGCTCACCCAGCAGAACAAAAACCACACGAGTGCCTCTTCAAGAAGGCAATGTGAATGCCAGTTCCGTATCACCAATGTACCCCGCCCCGCATCCCAGGGGCTTATCAAAATGTGCCTGCTAGCTACTCAGGAGACACGCCCTGAACTTGTCTCCTTGTCAGACAGTTTTCAGTGACAGATTGGTATCATGGAACTGCCCTGCCAGCCTTTCTCCAAATATGCTTCTCAAGTCAGTGGTGGAGAAGGTGGAAACAGCCAGAAAAGGGTTCCTAAGAGAAAGGATGGATGAAATGAGACCAGGCACAAACAAAAGACAGCCACGCAGAGGCAGGTGGGGAAGGCAAGGCGATGTCTCTGGGAGAGAGGGAGCAGCCTGAGCAAAGATGAATGGAGGCTTGGAGCATGTTAAAAATATTCATGGTAATTGAAACAGTAATACAAAACCTCCCGACTAAAAAAAGCCCA